TTACAATAAGATTCATTATTCCAAGTCTCCAGTTAACTTAATCACATTAAACAAAGATATGTGTTCAGGAAGCAGGTACCCTTCTCACTTACAATAAGATTCATTATTCCAAGTCTCCAATTAACTATCACATTAAACAAAGATATGTGTTCAGGAAGCAGGTACCCTTCTCACTTACAATAAGATTCATTATTCCAAGTCTCCAGTTAACTATCACATTAAACAAATATATATGTGTTCAGGAAGCAGGTACCCTTCTCACTTACAATAAGATTCAGTATTCCAAGTCTCCAGTTAACTATCACATTAAACAAATATATGTGTTCAGGAAGCAGGTACCCTTCTCACTTACAATAATATTCATTATTCCAAGTCTCCAATTAACTATCACATTAAACAAAGATATGTGTTCAGGAAGCAGGTACCCTTCTCACTTACAATAAGATTCATTATTCCAAGTCTCCAATTAACTATCACATTAAACAAAGATATGTGTTCAGGAAGCAGGTACCCTTCTCACTTACAATAAGATTCATTATTCCAAGTCTCCAATTAACTATCACATTAAACAAAGATATGTGTTCAGGAAGCAGGTACCCTTCTCACTTACAATAAGATTCAGTATTCTTAGTCTTCAATTAACTATCACATTAAACAAAGATATGTGTTCAGGAAGCAGGTACCCTTCTCACTTACAATAAGATTCATTATTCCAAGTCTCCAATTAACTATCACATTAAACAAGGATATGTGTTCAGGAAGCAGGTACCCTTCTCACTTACAATAAGATTCATTATTCCAAGTCTCCAATTAACTATCACATTAAACAAAGATATGTGTTCAGGAAGCAGGTACCCTTCTCACTTACAATAAGATTCATTATTCCAAGTCTCCAATTAACTATCACATTAAACAAAGATATGTGTTCAGGAAGCAGGTACCCTTCTCACTTACAATAAGATTCATTATTCCAAGTCTCCAATTAACTATCACATTAAACAAGGATATGTGTTCAGGAAGCAGGTACCCTTCTCACTTACAATAAGATTCATTATTCCAAGTCTCCAATTAACTATCACATTAAACAAAGATATGTGTTCAGGAAGCAGGTACCCTTCTCACTTACAATAAGATTCATTATTCCAAGTCTCCAATTAACTATCACATTAAACAAAGATATGTGTTCAGGAAGCAGGTACCCATCTCACTTACAATAAGATTCAGTATTCCAAGTCTCCAATTAACTATCACATTAAACAAAGATATGTGTTCAGGAAGCAGGTACCCTTCTCACTTACAATAAGATTCATTATTCCAAGTCTCCAGTTAACTATCACATTAAACAAAGATATGTGTTCAGGAAGCAGGTACCCTTCTCACTTACAATAAGATTCAGTATTCCAAGTCTCCAATTAACTATCACATTAAACAAAGATATGTGTTCAGGAAGCAGGTACCCTTCTCACTTACAATAAGATTCAGTATTCCAAGTCTCCAGTTAACTATCACATTAAACAAAGATATGTGTTCAGGAAGCAGGTACCCTTCTCACTTACAATAAGATTCAGTATTCCAAGTCTCCAGTTAACTATCACATTAAACAAAGATATGTGTTCAGGAAGCAGGTACCCTTCTCACTTACAATAAGATTCATTATTCCAAGTCTCCAATTAACTATCACATTAAACAAAGATATGTGTTCAGGAAGCAGGTACCCTTGTCACTTACAATAAGATTCATTATTCCAAGTCTCCAGTTAACTATCACATTAAACAAGGATATGTGTTCAGGAAGCAGGTACCCTTCTCACTTACAATAAGATTCATTATTCCAAGTCTCCAGTTAACTATCACATTAAACAAAGATATGTGTTCAGGAAGCAGGTACCCCTCTCACAATAAGATTCAGTATTCCAAGTTGAGACTTTCAATACCATTCTACTCTTGAAGAAGTTTTAGACCCCATGTTGAATAATCTGTCCATGCAATAAAAATCAGAAAAGCAAGATCCTCTCTTCAGTAAATAGGTTCAACATTTTGGAAAAATTGTTGACATTCCAATATAATAAATTTTCAAATTGTTCAATTGAAAGAAGACATGTTGTTTTTAAAAAAACACTGTATTTATGCCCAGAAAGTACTCATGGTCAAAGATATGACTGTCTAAAATCTCTTGCACTACCTCACATGGACCTTTCTTTAAAGTAGCCTAAAGAAGGGTGTCATGAAAGGGATCCGTTACATATTATGTGAAAATTAAAATTCAAAAATGCATGTCAAAAAATCCAATATCAGAACTGTGTAATGAGACCTTTGTTTGTGCCTGCTATCAGATGCATCTGTCAGTCAGGTCTCAAAACAGCATCCGTAACAAATGGCAAGTTGTGACATTTTGCATGTTAATGCCAGGCTTTGTATAAAAAACCTCCTACTCGTACATTGGACATGATACAGTCTTTGAAGGGTTCACTTTTAAAGATCTTAGTTTATTAAATCTTAGTTTATGATGAATTATAGAAGCATTTGTAACGACCCTTGATAGCAAGTTGCTACTACAGCCCAGCTGGGTTCGATTCCCACTCGGGGTATTGAATTTAGCACACTTTCTTTCAATTTCTTTATCTGGCTTGTTGGACCTATGCTCGCGGTCGTTAGTTAGTTATTCCCCTGGGGCACCCTCGGGTCATTACACATTACAATGCACCCATATGCCTTTATTTATGGATCTGTCATCTGTCTAGTCATAAAATAAAGCCGAAATTGTAGAAATGTTAATAATTAGAGCTATTTTAAAATTTGAAAATCTTTAAAATTGAACCCTTCATTAATGACTGTATCATTTCCCATGTAGGTGGGTATGAGGTAGGAGGTTTTTATACAAAGCCTTAATGCCATGTATCAATTTTTTGAATATCTATGTATTTTGGAGATTTTGAATCGCAAGGCTTTTTTGATTCATGCTACAAGTTGGGACTATTGAGTTTATAACGTAGCTTAAGGAATATTCCTTGCCAGACCCTTTCTCTCTTGATATGGTAGCTATAATCATATATATCGGGTGTCCCAAAAAAAACGTCCTGCTTTTTGAGCTCTTATAACTCTGCAAGATATTAACCAATTCATTTGAAATATCAGGGAGTAAGAGAACGATATTATCTATAAGCTATAAAAATATTAAATTAATCGGATGTACATTATGTGAGTATCGCCAAATACAAGATAGCATAGCAAGAAATGTAATATCAGAGGATAACTCAATTATTTCACCTTATAATGTAGATTGATGAGCATCGCCAAATACAAAAGTTAAACAGCATAAGATAAAAAGTTGGTACAGCAAAAGATCGACAACCCACTTATCTAATAACTTGTGCTCAATGTGGCCTCCATCTTCCTTCACAACTAAACGAAGTCGTTTCTTCCATACATAGATACTGCTCTTGATTTCATTCTGTGATATCTCCTGCCATGACGCACTTATTCTCTCTTTTAATGTTTGTTCTGTAAAATTATCCCTCATACCACTGTTAACTTTTTGATTTAGAGGATCCCAAACAGAGTAATCCATTGGATTACAGTCTGGACTTTGTGGAGGCCATTCAACCTTTTTGATAAATGCTGTGGTGGATATCTCCAGATACGCATGAGTTACCCCACTTGTGTGGGAAGGGGCCCCATCTTGAAACACATAGTCATTTCTAGGGTAAATCCTCCTACAATCAGGTAGCAGATTTTCATCTAATAACTTAATATAGCTTTCGCTGTTGACTTTGGCTTTGTCAGTATTAATGAAATAAATGTCCGTCTTCCCCTTCCAGGATACTCCTGCAGAAACCATTATCTTTTTGGATAACGTGAAGTTTCATGGTAAAGACGTGATGGTTGAATTTGACGTTTACGCTTTCCATACACCCGATCATTTTGACGATTTTTGGGCACTTCAAGAGAAAAGTCCTTCTCATCAGTGAAAATGATCTTCTTGACATCTGCGGATGAATAACGATCATATAAATTGCGACATCTTGTTTTTCTTTTTCCTTTAACATATAAGTGAGTTGTCCATCTTTTGCTGTACCAACTTTTTATCTTATGCTGTTAAACTTATGTATTTGGCGATGCTCATCAATCTACATTATAAGGTGAATTAAGTGAGTTGTCCTCCGATATTACATTTCTTGCTATGCTATCTTGTATTTGGTAATACTCACATAATGTACATCCGATTAATTTAATATTTTGATAACTTATAGATGATATCCTTATCTTACTCCCTGATAAATTTCAAATGAATTGGTTAATATCTTGCAGAGTTATAAGAGCTCAAAAAGCGGGACGTTTTTTTTTGGGACACCCGATATAGTTTCCATATTAAGCAAAACGTGGGAAAATGTTTTAATATGGTCAATATTGATCATTTAAAAATCTAGTGCTTATTTCCAGTGAGCTGCCATCTTTTAAGATTTCTTGCAGGAAGTGATGTCATCAACTCTCAACTTCTATAACCTTGCCCATAACAGTATAGGAAAGTAGCACAAAATCACTTCTAGACAAGTGATCATTACTTTCTGTGCAAAAATAGTTTCAGGGCTTGTCAACTAAGAATAAAAGAAGAGATTTTCAGAAGGATTAAATAAGATACAAAGTTGAAAAAGAATATTTAGCTGGTTTTGTAATTCTTAATAGCTCCTCACCTAATGCTATATGCAAAGTTGAGAGTCGATGACATCACTTCCTATGTGAAATTTTAAAAGATGGCAGCTTACTGGAATTGAGCATCACATTTTTAAGTGATCAAATTTGACCATATCAAAACATTTTTGCGTGTTTTGCTAAACATGGCAAGCATATATATGGTTATAGCTACCATACGAGGAGAGAGATGGTTTGGCAAGGAATATTCCTTTAAGTAGGTAAGTGAAATCAATTTTTCATTGGATTCAAAAATATGAATACTGCATGAAGTGTAGGCAGCATGTTTACAGTACTTGTTTTTCATTGCAGAATATTGCGAGGAGGAAGATCTGCTCATTCCATTGGTTAACATTGTTGACCCCAACAGCAACAAAGAAGACACTGACAATATTAAACCCAATGAGGAGACTGAATACAACAATGAGGAATCCACTGATAAAAACTTAAATGATGCAACAGAACAGGGGGACACTTTAAATGAAGATGCGAAAGAGGAATTATGATTTTGCTCAATTTTAAGCCAATTATTCATAATCATTATAAGATTCAGTAGCATAAGCACTTCAGGTTTGTTGGAAAAAGACATCCATATTCCACTTGAACCAGTAGACCTGAAATGTGTATGAGGCACACATTGTACATTTGTTTGATTAAGAGGATGTAAAATTCTTAGAAGTTAAAAGTAACAAAGCTCATGAAAATGTTAGTTTTTATCGCACCCTAAGGTGCTATATTGTAATCGGTTGGGCGGGCGTCCCGAATAATCTTGTCTGCAGGTTTCCAGCCAAACCGTTTGAGGGATTCATTTGAAATTCTCATGGATATTTCTACCTATGAAAGTTTAGAACTGATTAGTTTTTCGGCATTCTGGGTAAATGTTAAGGCGGCCATTTTGGATTTTCCTTCCTAAAATCTGTCAAGGCTTGTCTACAGGTTTCCAGCCAAACCGTTTGAGGGATTCATTTGAAATTCATTTGAGGGATTCATTTGAAATTCTCAGGGATATTTCTACCTATGAAAGTTTAGAACTGATTAGTTTTTCGACATTCGCACAAATTAAAACTGCTATTCAGATTGAGTCATATCTACATTCATTTTATGCATATCCATAATGCCTATTTGACCTATCATCGCAATTTCCCAAGTTCGCCCAGTTTTCGAGAAATTGCTGATTTTGTTGTCAAAAAGTCAAATTTTCTGTAAATACTAGACACTTTGTTGAAGTAGAACTTTCAAATAACTTGTAGTAGTTGCTGTATATGCTTATGTTCTCTAAAGATTTCAAAGCTCTTGAAATTACAGTTTTTGGTGTTTACTCTATAAAATTTGACAAAATTTGACTTTGTCATTTTCAGGGAACTTTCTCATGTATAAAGTCAATCATCATTGGCTGCACAAATTAAAACTGCTATTCGTATTGAGTCATATTCACATTCATTTTACAGTTTTATGCATATCCATAATGCCTGTTTGACCTATCATCGCCATTTCTCAAGTTTGCCCGGTTTCCGAGAAATTGCAGATTTTGACGTCAAAAAGTCAAATTCATTGACTAACTAAACAATTGACTTACTGAAACTGATAGGCAAATCTGACTTGAGAAACTGAGTACTGAGTAACTAAATAATCAATTTGAAAAATCAACTTTTTTTGGATGTAAATTTTGGTCACCTTAATCACAAAAGACCTACTGAGCTCTGAATAAGTAAAATGTTCAAGGTCAAAGGTCCTCAAACTAGGTCACAAACTGTGCAATCTAAGTTTCTCAGAGTTCGAGACTACAAATCAAAATCAATAATTCTGTTTGAAAATCAGGATATACATTCCTCTGAAGGTTCTACACTGTGTGAGCACAGGACCGTGGGTCCTTTATTTATCAAAATGGTTGCCATTTGTAGTTAAAAATGTAATCTTTAATAACCAAATAGCAGTTGACAGAATTTGTTTGAATTGTATGCTGATACCTAGGGACAAAGGAGCTTTATTCAAGAAGAAATTTTCAATAAGTTTTGTTTGGTGGAATTGGCTTATCAGTGGTGTTGCTATTTTCTAGTTGTCACATTTTCCCAATGGGAAGAAATGTCTCAAACTTTGGGGAAAGGAACTGAATCCTCATATCGGTTATGTAAACGCACAATTCAGTTGTAAAATCTTATTTCATGGGTTTCAAACAAAATATTACATTTTCAGATGTGACCTTGACATTTGTTTGAAAATGTGACATTGATTTTTCTCATTTCAATCTGTTATTTTCTTGAAATAAGAATTTAGAAAGATCTGCACTTCTTACTGTACTGTTCTATATCTTACATTCCTCATAAATACATAGCAGTTTAAAACTGAAAGTAGGATATATCCAGGGATCTGAAATCTTATTTCATTCCATAAATATGCTCTTTTCAGTGACATTAGTTATGAATTTAGCTACCACATCTTGGGCTGTCAGTATAATATTAGTTATGAATTTAGCTACCACATGTCAGTATAATATTAGTTATGAATTTAGCTACCACATGTCAGTATAATATTAGTTATGAATTTAGCTACCACATGTCAGTATAATAAGTCCTGTCCCCCCTGCTACAGCTAGAACCTTAATAGATGGTGTCTAGTGTGATATACCATTGGAAAGATCATACAAAGTTATGTTAACTCACCAACTCTCAAGTATTTTGGATGAACTTCCCCTATATTTTCATGATCTCTTTTAAAGTTAGCATGCCCTCCTTTAAACAGCTTTTTGCGTCAAAATGAGAAGGATTTGACCTCAGAAATATGTCAAAAAAATCTTTTTCGCATTCCACTTGTTACAAAAATGTTTTCACCACTTGGCTTGCTCCTCTATTTTCAACACATCTTCCCCTATCCAGAAATTGGTTAAATTCATTGCATTTACATATGTAGTCATCTATATGTCCTTTGACTTTTCTTATACCCGATTCTGAAAATCCTGCCAAATACACCAAATTGCCATGTTTCTAGGCCTATGGTCACCTCAATTGATACATTTCATATTTATTCTTCAAGTACATTCACACCCCTTGGGGTCAAGTACATGTGCAAACAAACAAAAAATTATAACAATTATAAAGGAAGGAAAAAGAAGACATTTACATGTAAAAAACTACTTAACTATGAGTATTACTATTAAGGATGATGATGCATTGGGGCTCTAGAGATATAGCTATTGGTACTGGATGTAAATATATATTTTGCTACATTTATACAGTTTTGATATTTACCAGTACTGTCATTTTCATTTTAGACAACATGATATTTCTTTGTTTATTATAGTTCGTACAGTGAAGGAGATAGTGTTCTTCATTTTCTATAGTATTGCATGTTTCGCATTTTCTCTCTTCCAGAGGTGTCGGTTTTGGTCTTGTGTAGCGACCAAGTTCAATTTGGAGATTATATGCACTTGTTCTAAGTTTGGTAAACTCTCTACGCAGGTCAAAGTGTTTTATAACATCTAAATAATTTTCATAGGCAAAGTTACTTTTGATTATAAGTTCTTAATTTGTTATTGCACTTTAGTTTTTGTGTATCATTAGAGATTTTATTTTCCAGAATTCATGAAATCGGCTCCTTAGACTTTGTTTGCATCATAATACTTCTGGTGTTATATCTAGTATTTCATCATATCAGTATTCATTAATATTTTAAGAACAACGAATACCATGACATGAAATTCTGATTTTTTGTGTTGTGAAATGCTGGACTAAGTAACAGGTTATCAGAGTCCTGAATATGAGCATAAAAATTACAAATTCTATCAAATATGTTATATAGTGGATTAAATAGCCATGTTAGTTGCCCTTTTCCCAACACCTAGAATATGGTTACAAAAAGATATGTTTAAAGACTGAGAGCGGGTATAAAAGGCAGATGGAACAGCCCACAAAAGCCAAATATGGCAGTTTAAAGGTCCAGTTCAAACAAAATGAGAACATTTTCAAACTTTCTGCTATAACAAGATTGTTATGATGAGTTACAAGCTCTTTTTTGTTACAGTGGTTCATGAATCTATAATGACTATAAATTTCAAATCAAATTCTGAAAATGTTGTTTAGTTTTTGTGAAATAAGACAATTTCTTTTTGTAAATATGCTCGTTAGCATAACTGACAGTTTAAATTTCAGCCAATGGGCATCTCTTATCCGTCTAGAAGTAAACAAACATAGCATAAGGCTGTATCTCACTTGTAGCAGACCATGTGTTTCTGTTTATGCTGGACATTTAAACTGACCACATTAGCATTGATTGGCTGAGCTGTGACAGCTTGATTAATAGCTTCACCCGGGTCCAAATCTCTGGGCCTTTAACTTCTCAGACAAAATTTTAGATTGCTTGAGGAATTTATCTTCTTAATTGTCAGTTGAGACATTATTAAAAGCATATGGCGCCCATATTTCGGCACCATACAGACATATTGGTGCTATTGTATGGTCAAAAAGGCTTACTGCTAAAGACGGCTTAATATTACAGTAGAGAATTTTCGTTATAAGTTTTTTTAAAACTTATACATATACTTATACTTATAAACCCAATAAACAAGGTGTTTCATAATTTCCTAATTCGTCGGGAAATATCTCCTAGGACGGTAATAAAAAGGGCCAATGGCATACCATCCGTACCCCCTTGATGTAAAGCATGTTTAGTTGTGTCATAGGTGTTTTCTAGAATCAAATAGGCTGATATAGCACACGGGTTTTACAGATTTATCTACTCTCAAATATTTTTTTTGTAGATGATCGTTTTGAATCACCTTGTAGAAATAACGAAGGGATAATTTGTCCAGCTAATGAATGAGTCGAGCTGTTTGATTGGATACTATGCCTATTCAGCTGATTAATTTTAATAAGCCATTCTGGTCAGTAGGTCCACACATATACTATGCGGAGATCCAACTCTGTAAGTTTATAATCTGCGTATAAAGGCCCTTTTATACGTAAAAACTTAAAAATTGACCTTATAATTTCATGAGAACTTTGAAATGATCGACTCGTTCGTGTAGTGATTCACTTTAAAGGGTCTTGTTTATCGTACACTACAAGGACCCGTCAACTAGCGTTTAGTTTATCATGTTCATAATTGACACTAGCAAAGGACATTGTATTCGCAGTCCCTAGTTGATGATGGAGCTTGGCTATATCGGGAATAGTTATGCCCCACTTGGTACAGATTATGAAAATCAATTTGAATTGATTTTAGTTCGACAAGACCCTTTAAACTATAAGTATACGTATAAGTTTTTGAAACAACTTATAACGAAAATTCTCTAGTATTGAAAATATTTCTTAAGTTAAAATAATGCTTTGGATGCTTTATATAGATATATGCTAATCAACGTAACTTTGGAAGACCTTTCCAATGATATATCACACTTGGTACCATATATCTTGGTTTTGGCTGTAGAGGGGGGCAGGACTTATTTGACACCCGTAGACTATGAATGTTTCCATATTTGAATCATTATTAGCTCGATGTAATGTGCCCAAAGATGATTTAAATCATTGTCTTGACCGGAGTAAAAGTCAATGGGTAGAATTATATTGTATGATTTCATAATCTGATACAATGTAGTTTCAAAAAGAAAATCCATTTGTGTGATTACACATGACAAATGGTTACAAAAGTGTGTCAATTGTTGCAGATGAAGGTCAACCAAAGGACAAATCTCAAATCTAAACTAAGATTTGATATTCTGAGATTTTGTAGATGATTTTTGAAAAAATGGTCAATTTGAAGCAAGTTGAAAAATGACCTTTTTGACCTTCAACATGTTGCCATGGTAACATATATTGGTAGAAATGTGTTGAAGTCAAGTTTATATATGTTGACAGTAAAAAACTGAAATCAGTCTAAACGTTATTTGAAGTTGCCAACCGCCAAATGCCAGCCACCGAACACCATCCAGAGAAAAGTTGGAGACTATAACAATATGTCACCACTTTTGGTGGTGACAAAATAAAGCAAGATAATACTTATACATGTAATAAATACTGTATTAACTTATGTATACAATTGTTTATTTATTTTATGAAAGTTTCAGTTGATTGGCACACCCCGGATTGTTAGATATTTAGACACCATAATGAGGTGTACAGTGCGTTTTTTGACGGGGTTTTCCCATTTAGTGGAGGGTATTTCCCATTTAGCACATCTCATTATAAACATGCATCTAAAGGTAGAATCTATAATAGGCAGCTTGAAATATTTACAAATGAACAACGTTATTTATGTCTATTATTCCAGAATGTTAAAACCTAGAAATTAATAATACCTAATTAATCTGAAATTGAGACAATTTTAGAGACAATTGATTCTACCTTTAAAGAGATATAAGAACAAAGAATTTGAAATAAAAATGAATGAAATTTTGTTCCTGGATTTAGTTGAGGGAATAATATTACCAAATTGGTCAACACTGTACCTGCCAAATGAAGATCAGGAATGAATCCTGGTTGGCAATATTCCTTGATATCAATATATTCAATGATGAGGTCACAATGTATGCTGATGTATGAGGTGTCATATGCTGTAGTACACTGGTGTAAATACATGTTCACCTATAGTACACACGTGTAAATAAATGTTCATCTGTAGTACACCAGTGTAAATGCATGTTCATTTGTACTACACTGTTGTAAATACATGTTCATCTGTAGTATACTGGTGTAAATGCATGTTCATCTAAAGTGCACAAGTGTAAATATATGTTCATCTGTAGTACACCAGTGTAAATGGATGTTCATTTGTAGTTCACTGTTGCTAATACATGTTCATCTGTAGTACACCAGTGCAAATGCATGTTCATCTATAGAACACTGGTGTAAAAACATCTTCATCTATAGTACACCAGTGTAAATGCATGTTCATCTGTAGCACACCAGTGTACATGTATGTTCATCTGTACTACACTGTTGTAAATACATGTTCATCTATAGTACACCAGTGTAAATGCATGTTCATCTGTAGCACACCAGTGTACATGTATGTTCATCTGTAGTACAATGGTGTAAATAAATGTTCCTCAATAGTCAGCCAGGGTAAATGCATATTCATCTGCAGTACACCAGTGTAAATGCATGTTCATCTGATGCACACCAGTGTAAATGCATGTTCATCTGTAATACACTAGTGTAAATGCATGTTCATCTGTAGTACACCAGTGTAAATGCATGTTCAACTGATGCACACCCGTGTAAATGCATGTTCATCTGTAATACATTAGTGTAAATCCATGTTCATCTGATGTACATCAGTGTAAATGCATGTTCATCTGTAATACACTAGTGTAAAACCATGTTCATCTTTAGTACACCAGTGTAAATGCATGTTCATCTGTAGTACACCAGTGTAAATGCATGTTCAACTGATGCACACCCGTGTAAATGCATGTTCATCTGTAATACATTAGTGTAAATCCATGTTCATCTGATGTACATCAGTGTAAATGCATGTTCATCTGTAATACACTAGTGTAAAACCATGTTCATCTTTAGTACACCAGTGTAAATGCATGTTCATCTGTAATACACTAGTGTAAAACCATGTTCATCTTTAGTACACCAGTGTTAATGCATGTTCATCTGCACACTAGTGTAAATTTATGTTCGTCTATTATTGTAGGAGATACAGATCACCATCCAATCACATATAAATGGCATAATCATCTATCACTTGCTAAACTTTGGTGGTATCTCTTCTATTGTATTGGTCCATGTAGATGTATGTATGTACACTTATTAAGTGTATATTTATAATATGCTTATATTATGCTGCAAAATAGTTTGCTAAATGACTGCCACAAGGTTGAATTATATGTGGAATGTCATGCTGTCTCTATAATATGTGTTATGACACCAGCCAGTGCAATGACATCTATTATGTGTCATTGACACCTTCAATGAGGCAAGTGTCCTGCACCCAAGCGTTCCCTCTCTATAGCTAGCTGTCTCTGAATGGCTTCATGGTGAGCTTGCGCAGACAACTGGAACAAAAAATAAGACTTTTGCATAATTCAATCTTATTCTTTCACTGGTCAATGTCTATGGTTTAACTTTTGGAAATCATCCTATATGAATTTCAAGTGCAAAATCAATGAATAAGAGAAAAATACCAAGTTTACATAATAAACCTCATTTTGTGTAACAGACCTGGACATAAACCTTATTTTGTGTAACATACCTTGACATAAACCTCATTCTGTGCAACAGACCTGGACATAAACCTCATTTTGTGTAACATACCTTGACATAAACCTCATTCTGTGCAACAGACCTGGACATAAACCTCATTTTGTGTAACAGACCTGGACATAAACCTCATTTTGTGTAACAGACCTGGACATAAACCTCATTTTATGTAACAGACCTGGACATAAACCTCATTTTGTGTAACAGACCTGGACATAAACCTCATTTTGTGTAACAGACCTGGACATAAACCTCGTTTTATGTAACAGACCTGGACATAAACCTCATTTTGTGTAACAGACCTGGACATAAACCTCATTTTGTGTAACAGACCTGGACATAAACCTCATTCTGTGTAACAGACCTGGACATAAACCTCCTTTTGTATAACAGACCTGGACATAAACCTCATTTTGTGTACCAGACCTGGACATAAACCTAATTTTGTGTAACAGACCTGGACATAAACCTCATTCTGTGTAACAGACCTGGACATAAACCTCGTTTTATGTAACAGACCTGGACATAAACCTCATTCTGTGTAACAGACCTGGACATTAACCTCATTTTGTGTAACAGACCTGGACATAAACCTCATTTTGTGTAACAGACCTGGACATAAACCTCATTTTGTGTAACAGACCTGGACATAAACCTCATTCTGTGTAACAGACCTGGACATAAACCTCGTTTTATGTAACAAACCTGGACATAAACCTCATTCTGTGTAACAGACCTGGACATAAACCTCCTTTTGTGTAACAGACCTGGACATAAACCTCATTCTGTGTAACAGACCTGGACATAAACCTCCTTTTGTGTAACAGACCTGGACATAAACCTCATTTTGTGTAACAGACCTGGACATAAACCTCATTTTGTGTAACAGACCTGGACATAAACCTCATTTTGTGTAACAGACCTTGACATAAACCTCATTTTGTGTAACAGACCTGGACATAAACCTCATTTTGTGTAACAGACCTGGACATAAACCTCATTTTGTGTAACAGACCTGGACATAAACCTCATTTTGTGTAACAGACCTGGACATAAACCTCATTTTGTGTAACAGACCTGGACATAAACCTCATTTTGTGTAACATACCTGGACATAAACCTCATTTTGTGTAACAGACCTGGACATAAACCTCATTTTGTGTAACAGACCTTGACATAAACCTCATTTTGTGTAACAGACCTGGACATAAACCTCATTTTGTGTAACAGACCTGGACATAAACCTCATTTTGTGTAACAGACCTGGACATAAACCTCATTTTGTGTAACAGACCTGGACATAAACCTCATTTTGTGTAACAGACCTGGACATAAACCTCATTCTGCGTAGCTTGAAACAAATTGTTCATCATTAAAATCAATAATGAGCAAGCATTTTTTTAGTTTGCATAGTAGTATTATTTTGGCAATTATATTTTGGAACTTTTCATACTGCTGACCAGGTAAGATGTCTACTTATTGTAAGTTAAATATCATAGTGAATTAAGAGAAATTTTAGAATATATTTAGATGAGAATTATGTTTGGGCATAATAGGCTATTAACATGTCTTTACCTGATAGGCGAGTTGTGGGTCTCCTTGAGCCCTGGCTAGTAAATCCCTCTGTAGGAGCTCCTGCTCCCGAGCTGCCATGATTTGGTGAGTGGAGGGACCATGGGGGCCTGCAGGCAAGGGGTGGGCAGTCCCTGGGGCTGGTGTACTACTGGCTCCACCTGATGCTAGTGGATCTGCCCCTGAAATATGAAAAACAAGATAAATACATTGTTCCATAAAAACATTTTATCATGACAATGGAGCTCTCTTTTAAGAACACTGATGTGGTGAAAATTCCGTTATAGCATTATCGCATAATGTATATTATTATGGAGGCGTATGCACACATTTATATCAAAACCAATGCTGTAAACTGTGCAAATGAAAAAAAAATTTAAAAAGTGAAAATACTACATTAAATAGCAAATGGACCTGCATTTCCAGAGACTGATTGGCTACATTTAAAGAGTTCTGCCTTGAGGATCACAATTATTAAAAATTCCTGGCTCATTAAATGACCTCAAAAATGATCAATTCTATAGCAACCCATGAAACAAAAAATCACTCCTAAATATTGATATATTGTATGTTCTTCTATGTACAATGAAGATCTTGTGTACAATACAAAATGCAGATTCATGTGTGATTCAAATTAGGCCAAGTGTAATTTTGTCAATACAAAGATAATACCCTTTATATAATTTTGTAAAGTACAACATCAAAAAGGTTAATTAAGCAAGGAATTAACATGCGAAATCTCACCACCTGTTTACTGTTATTTGTTACAGACAACGACCGCAGAAAGCGGATAACCAAATGCTGAACCCCGAATGCCTAGCACAGTCCACGAAAAACGTTGGAGACTATGACAATATGGCACATAATGATAATAACTTAGTAAAAAGTTTTAGACAGAAGTAATGTATCTCACACCGGAATTGCCTCACTATGGTAAAGTCGGATACCGTTGTCACAAATGGCAGACATAACCGTCACTTCAACTGTTTAATCACTTGGTCCTCATTTCATGGGATTTTATCGTCGCTAATTGTGTGCATGCATTAAGCTCGATCTTGTGATAATGTATCAAATAAAATCCCATTTTCGATCAAATTGGGTCATGAATCGCCAATATAGAGTCTTCATTGTCGTCAATGACAACGGAATCTGAATTTGAGTAATTTAGAAAGACAACGGTATATGGTAATAATTACAGTGTCCATTGTCCCGTATCTCATTTTGATCGGTTAAATAAAAGACTTTATTTCAATGGTACAACATTATTAACTGTACAATGAGTATTAAGACACTTTGATTGATTGTTGTTCCAAAGGAATTTAGTATAGGTGCTCTATTGAACATAGTTCATGAAAATCTAATTGAAGCGATGGTTATGTCCGCCATTTGTGACAACAGTATCTGACTTAACCGTTGTCAGGCTATTTGGGGGTGTATCTCAGCTTTCGAGAATTTTCCAAGAATTTCCTGAGATGCTAGAGAAATCCCTCAAGAATATGGATAGACTATTTTGGGAACATAAATGGCGATTATTTCCCTTTCATAACTGGCTAGGACATTGGACAAAAATTGACTCTGGCCTACCTAATTCATAATGACAACACTGCCTTGAGTTATAAAATAATATTGAGAACACTGCATATATAACAAGCCTAATGAAATAAAAATACATTCTAAAATAATGGCTTGCCGCATATTTGCTGAAACAAATTTCATGATGGATGATTGCAGAGCCAAACCATACATGTTTCAATAAATATGAGCAAGAACTGTCTGGCAACATAGTGAATATATTGGTTGCGGGGATTACAAGTTCAGAGACCCTGCAACTTACTGGAAAATTGATACGCCAAATGTGAAGGATTTATCATCCCATATTTGGAAGCGATCAATTGATTTTGTCTTTGTAAATGCGCTAGACGTTCGTGCGCAGAATATTGGTACATGATGGTTTGGTAGACCGTCATAGAACATCCTGGGTCATTGTTCACCACATCTGCAATTAAAAACATCAGTGTTACGATTGAGCATACACAGCTGCTTACCTGGCATAAATCCAGGGCGGTGAGGCGGGGCTGGGCCACCCCCAAGGAGCCAAGGCATATCTAGAGGGTGCACCCCTGGTGGCGGCATTCCTGGGGCTGCTGGAGGAGTCTCATTCTCTGGCTGGTGGACATGTAGGTGTGTATGAGAATGTGTATGAGAGTGTGTGTGGGCTGAGCCAGGTGGTGGAGGCGGACCACCTACCCCTAGAGCTGAAGAGGGGGGAGGGGCCAAGCCAGCGAGTTGAAGTCGAGCCATGGGGTCAGTAGAGAGTGCCATCCTCTCCATGTGTAAACGCTCGGCAGATAATCTCTCAGCTACGAGGGCATTCTCGTACATCGCCAGCTGGGTAGGGTGTAAGGCACCAGGAGGGATACCTACTGGAATACCTACAACATACACCCATATATAAACCCCCTGTAGTGAGAATTATTATGAGAATCTATTTGGTCTTAAAGCAAAACATTTAGCTTCACACTTTAAATTAATTACTATTAAGTATTGCTAAATGTAACATACCAGTACCTAGTCGCTCCATCCGTTCCCGCTCACGCTGCAGAAGATCGCTAGCGAGACTGTTGGGAGGGTATACCCCTGGCATATGTGACCCAAGGGGACCAGGGGGAAGTCCCCCAGGAAGACTAGCATAGAAGCGTTGGAGTTCTGCTCTTCTTGCAGAGTCTAATTCAAGAGAATTAGGTGGAAAGCGACCTTCAAGACCTACAATCCCAAGATATTCAATTACAATTGAGCACTTACTGGACTTGCATACCATGTATGACATAAATTCATGTATGGCAGAGATTCACTAGTTATCAGAAGATTTTTCAACAATTTCAATATGATAGTTATATTTTCCTTTTTATTTAGCATTTCTGGCAAGTGTGCCTGTAAATATAACATTGACCTTAATGACTTTTCTGCTGAATGTGCCCTATAAATATATCTTTAACCTTTCATTTAATGACGTTTTAAGGGAAAATGATAACAAATTCAATCTTGACCTCTCTGATGACTATGCCAATAAACAAATAAATATAGCCTTGACACATTGTGACCTTTCTGGGGATTATGCAAACAAATATAACCCTGACCTTTTGTGACCTACATGTGTATACATAAGGGTTATGTACTGGGAGGTTTTGGATATGGGGTTTATCCAGAGGGAGATATGCATATCTACCTGAGGGACCGTAGGGACCGAAGGTAGATGTGCACATCTCACGAGGGATGAACCCAATATCCAAACCGACCGTACATAACTGCTTTATCATATACCAAGTAGAGTTTTCTAATTTTCTTTCAATTTTTTTTAATTTTTTTTTTATTTTTTCAATTTTTTCACATTTTTCTATTTTTTTGAAAAAAATTATATTTTTTTGAAAAAAATTATATTTTTTTCTTTTTTCAATTTTTTCTTTTTTCAAAATTTTTTCACATTTTTAAAAAAAAATTCTTATTTTTTCAAATTTTTTTCCAAGCGGGAAGATATGACCTGGAGCGGGAGATATGGTGGGAGATATGGAGGTTCAGGATATGGAAACCTCAAAATCAGGATACGGGATATATCTTACCGGATTTTCTCGCATATACGCCCCCCTAAATTTAGGCCCGTGGGCCAAAAATCGAATGTAGTACGCTTATACGCCCATGGGCCTATAAAAAATGACTATTTATTGATTTTTTCAATAAATTCAAGAGTATTTTGTCACTGGCAGATCGTTCTGGCGTTACTTTGTTTCAACATTAAGTTCAACGCTGTGCCGTAAGTGGCAGTGGTGGATCGTTGTGTTGTTACTTTGTTTCAACATTAAGTCCAAGGTTGTAGGTGACATTTCCTTTATAATTCTTACAAAACATGCGGTAGGACTACAACAGTAGGTACGGTAGTCTTTGAGGAACCATTGTATTCATCAGCTCTTCTCACCTTTACGCCCACTGGGCCAAAAATCGAAAGTAGTACACTTATACGCCCATGGGCGAAAAATAAGAGGTAAAATAACAGACGAAATTACCCCTTCTTTCAGTTATACGCCCAGGGCTTATATGCGAGAAAATCCGGTACCAACTTATCTCCCTAAAACTCTACTTGGCATAGGATAAATGGTGTTAATCAGCTCCTAACATCAGAAATGACACTCCATAATCACTCCAGAACTTACCCATACCTTGATGCTTGCTTAGTTCGATGTCAGCACGCATCTTTTCTTTCATTTCCATTTCCCGCAATTCTCTCTCCCTCATCTCCCTCTCTCTTGCATCTCTCTCTCTCTTATCTCTCTCTAGCTCCAATTCTAGTCTGAAACATATCATTACTTCAATTTCAAATTTGCTAGGAAACTTTGTAAAATTTTAATTATGATAGAAAACAAATCAAAGAGCCTGATCAGAAATGGTTTTTCCTCATCCCCCAAATAAATTACTCTGGGGTGAATTTATAACCCATCAATATTAGACATGGCCTTACATGTTTTTCTAGATCATAGACCGTTATATAATCATTTTTAAATTACATACAAGAACACGAAAAAGGGAACAATTCAGTCAAAAAGACAATCAAATAGCTTGGTTACCTTTCTCTCGAGCCAGGTGGATACATGGCCATTCTGTGAAATAGCAAAGGATCAGTGCCATGCGGAATCTGACCCAGACCTCCATATGGTGCTTGACGTGGACTCTCAGCTCCATTCAGAGTGTGTGGCCGTGCATATTCACTCAACTGGCGCAATGCAGGTGTATCTGGATAGATGGATCGTGGTGTGTGGCGATCAGAATATTGCGATGGAATTTCTTGACGTGAGGTGAAACTTGTAATCTGAGCATCAGCAGATCTATTCTCTGGTGGAGTCTGGACACGTTTCTGAAACATTTACAACAACCAGTATGAGCAAATTCTACAATGTTTACAACATTGATAACAACCGATATGTGAAACATTTACAACAACCAATATGTGAAGTATTTATAACAACCAATATTTGAAACATTTCCAACATCCAATATGTAAAACATTTAGAACAACCAGTATGAGCTCATTGTACAATGTTTACAACATTGGCAACCATCAATATTTGATACATTTACAACAACAAATATGTAAAACATTTACAACAACCAATATGTGAAGCATTTACAACAAGCAATATTTGAAATATTTACAACAAGCATTATTTGAAATATTTACAACAACCAATATGTGAAGCATTTACAACATTGGGTAGTGGTATAGTTGAGCTGGCATTGCATTGGGTAGTGGAATGACTCGGTTGGCATTGCATTTGGTAGTGGTATGGCTCAACTGGCATTGTATTGGGTAGTGGTATGGTTCAATTGGCATTGCATGGGGTAGTGGTATAGTTTAATTGGCATTGCATTGGGTAGTGGTATGGCTCAATTGGCATTGCATTGGGTAGTAGTATGGCTCAATTTGCATTGCATTGGGTAGTGGTATAGTTAAGTTGGCATTGCATCGGGTAGTGTTATGGCTCACTTGGCTTCGCATTTGGTAGTGGTATGGCTCAATTGGCATTGCATTGGGTAGTGGTATGGTTCAATTGGCATTGCATTGGGTAGTGGTATGGCTCAATTGGCATTGCATTTGGTAGTGGTATGGCTCAATTTGCATTGTATTGGGTTGTGGTATGGTTCAATTGGCATTACATTTGGTAGTGGTATGGTTCAATTGGCATTGTATTGGGTAGTGGTATGGCTCAATTGGCATTGCATTGGGTAGTAGTATGGCTCAATTGGCATTGCATTGGGTAGTGGTATAGTTAAGTTGGCATTGCATCGGGTAGTGTTATGGCTCACTTGGCTTCGCATTTGGTAGTGGTATGGCTCAATTGGCATTGCATTGGGTAGTGGTATGGTTCAATTGGCATTGCATTGGGTAGTGGTATGGCTCAATTGGCATTGCATTTGGTAGTGGTATGGCTCACTTGGTTTTGCATTTAGTAGTGGTATGGCTCACTTGGTTTTGCATTTGGTAGTGGTATGGCTCAATTGGCATTGCATTGGGTAGTGGGATGGCTCAACTGGCATTGCATTTGGTAGTGGTATGGCTCACTTGGTTTTGCATTTAGTAGTGGTATGGCCCACTTGGTTTTGCATTTGGTAGTGGTATGGCTCAATTGGCATTGCATTGGGTAGTGGTATGGTTCAATTGGCATTACATTTGGTAGCGTATGGCTCAATTGGCATTGAATTGGGTAGTGGTATGGATCAATTGACATTGAATTGGGTAGCGTATGGCTCAATTGGCATTGAATTGGGTAGTGGTATGGATCAATTGACATTGAATTGGGTAGTGTATGGCTCAATTGGCATTGTATTGGGTAGTGGTATGGTTGAATTGGCATTGCATTGGGTAGTGGTATGGTTCAATTGGCATTGTATTGGGTAGTGGTATGGTTTAGTTTGCATTGCATTGGGTAGTGGTATGGCTCAATTGGCATTGCATTGGGTAGTGGTATGGCTCAATTGGCATTGCATTGGGTAGTGGTATGGCTCAATTGGCATTGCATTGGGTAGTGTATGGCTCAATTGGCATTGCATTTGGTAGTGGTATGGCTCAATTGGCATTGCATTGGGTAGTGGTATGGCTCAATTGGCATTGCATTTGTTAGTGGTATGGCTCAATTGGCATTGCATTGGGTAATGGTATGGCTCAATTGGCATTGCATTTGGTAGTGGTATGGCTCAATTGGCATTGCATTGGGTAGTGGTATGGCTCAATTGGCATTGCATTGGGTAGTGGTATGGCTCAATTGGCATTGCATTGGGTAGTGGTATGGCTCAATTGGCATTGCATTGGGTAGTGGTATGGCTCAATTGGCATTGCATTTGGTAGTGGTATGGCTCAATTGGCATTGCATTGGGTAATGGTATGGCTCAATTGGCATTGCATTTGGTAGTGGTATGGCTCAATTGGCATTGCATTGGGTAGTGGTATGGCTCAATTGGCATTGCATTTGGTAGTGGTATGGCTCAATTGGCATTGCATTTGGTAGTAGTATGGCTCAATTGGCCCTACTTACAGCTAATGAAGTTGTAGACTTTTCTTTCTCTTCTACAATCTCCTCCTTGACTTTTGCAGTAGCAGCGTCAGAAGATCTCCTCTTCCGTTCCTCCCACTTCTTGGCTAGTTTACTGTCAGGGAGTGGTTGGAATATGAGATCACTGCGCGCACATGACCAGTAGGGCCCTCTATTGATGGTTTTGATTACACTGAAATGGAAACAAAAATGTCATTAATAAAGAAGTCATTATTTCCATATTACCATAGTTCTGTAAACAAACAAAGAGCCACTATTATATATCTTTTATTGACTCTTTAGATGTCATATCATGACATATTAGTCACTAAGGTAGAGCAGTTCTTCCCATTGTGGAGTTGAAGAACTGGTATCTTTATCCTGGCTAGAACCATAGACAATTCTAGCCAGCGCCAGCCTTTTATCGAGTTAGCAGCACTCTAGTCATCGCCGGTATAGGTCAGCAGTCATAGGTCAAAGACAAATCACAAGAAGTGCTGTGACCTGGGTTTGAACCCAAGACCTCTACTTTTCAGCCTGAAGCCAGACTTCCTGCTTTTCAGACCAATGCCTTAACCACTAGGCCAACCTGGCGACAATAACAGGGGTGTAGGAAGGTGTAAATTCAACACTACGCCAAAAATATTTAAAAATGTTGACAAATCTTTTATATCATAACGTCCATTTTATGCTTGTAAAACTTCTAATACTTGAATGTATTTCATCATATAAAATCAACATAAAAAGCTGATCTTTTAAATCTCGACAATACAGATTTAAGAAACTATTATGATCAATTGATTTAAAGAAACACATCCGTGATCAATGATACAAATAACTTTCATCTCTGCAACCATCTTCATAACACTAATTTGCTAGTTCAAATAACCCCCCCCCCCTCAACAAAGGTAAAATCAAGGTCTATGAGACTTAGGGGGGGTGTAAATCTTTGATATTTTGTGATACATAGCTAGACCCTTTCAAAATAATTGTTGGTGCGAAAAATGCTATATTTCCTAAAATAATAATCAATTATCTTTCAAATGAAATAAAAATTAAGGAAAAAGCTTTTCTAGAACTGAAGTTATATACTTTCAAAACTCATCGAAATCAATAGAACGCGTAATCGTATAATCAACAATTTCAAGTTCAACTTGTTTTTGTCTTTAACATTCATACTTCAAGAAGAACTACAAATAACAACTTGTATAAATGCTGACTTATTGTTATTCCAATATAATTTCGGTCTATGATTTTCCCTAGCAACCACATAGCAACTGAAAATAAATCGAATTATTGAAATTGAAAAATTTGGGGTAGGGGAGAATAAAAAAAAATATATATCTAAAATTGAGAGAGGTTTACCATTATAATTCTGATAGCAAAGAACATGCACAAGGTATTCATCTAGTAGTTTTTGAAGAAAATGTTCAAAATTCAAACAATTCATGAAGAGAATGGTAATATCAAATGGTGTCCAAAAGACATTTCTTTAGTGTGCTTGAGATCACAAATAATTTATTCATGATGAGAAAATATGAATGAAAAACTAAGGAATCACTTTTCAACACTACGCATTGGCATTTTGGTGTACATTGTTCCTACACCACTGAATAAAGCAAACATTGTTCCTACACCACTGAATAAAGCATATATTGTTCCTACACCACTGAATAAAGCATACATTGTTCCTACACCACTGAATAAAGCATATATTGTTCCTACACCACTGAATAAAGCATACATTGTTCCTACACCACTGAATAAAGCATACATTGTTCCTACACCACTGAATAAAGCATATATTGTTCCTACACCACTGAATAAAGCATATATTGTTCCTACACCACTGAATAAAGCATACATTGTTCCTACACCACTGAATAAAGCATACATTGTTCCTACACCACTGAATAAAGCATATATTGTTCCTACACCACTGAATAAAGCATACATTGTTCCTACACCACTGAATAAAGCATACATTGTTCCTACACCACTGAATAAAGCATATATTGTTCCTACACCACTGAATAAAGCGTACATTGTTCCTACACCACTGAATAAAGCATATATTGTTCCTACACCACTGAATAAAGCACACATTGTCCCTACACCACTGAATAAAGCGTACATTGTTCCTACACCACTGAATAAAGCGTACATTGTTCCTACACCACTGAATAAAGCATATATTGTTCCTACACCACTGAATAAAGCATACATTGTTCCTACACCACTGAATAAAGCATACATTGTTCCTACACCACTGAATAAAGCGTACATTGTCCCTACACCACTGAATAAAGCGTACATTGTTCCTACACCACTGAATAAAGCATATATTGTTCCTACACCACTGAATAAAGCATACATTGTCCCTACACCACTGAATAAAGCGTACATTGTTCCTACACCACTGAATAAAGCGTACATTGTTTCTACACCACTGAATAAAGCATACATTGTCCCTACACCACTGAATAAAGCGTACATTGTTCCTACACCACTGAATAAAGCGTACATTGTTCCTACACCACTGAATAAAGCACACATTGTTCCTACACCACTGAATAAAGCATACATTGTTCCTACACCACTGAATAAAGCGTACATTGTTCCTACACCACTGAATAAAGCATACATTGTTCCTACACCACTGAATAAAGCGTACATTGTTCCTACACCACTGAATAAAGCGTACATTGTTCCTACACCACTGAATAAACGTACATTGTTCCTACACCACTGAATAAAGCGTACATTGTTCCTACACCACTGAATAAAGCGTACATTGTTCCTACACCACTGAATAAAGCGTACATTGTTCCTACACCACTGAATAAAGCATACATTGTTCCTACACCACTGAATAAAGCGTACATTGTTCCTACACCACTGAATAAAGCAAACATTGTTCCTACACCACTGAATAAAGCATATATTGTTCCTACACCACTGAATAAAGCATACATTGTTCCTACACCACTGAATAAAGCATACATTGTTCCTACACCACTGAATAAAGCATATATTGTTCCTACACCACTGAATAAAGCGTACATTGTTCCTACACCACTGAATAAAGCATATATTGTTCCTACACCACTGAATAAAGCACACATTGTCCCTACACCACTGAATAAAGCATACATTGTTCCTACACCACTGAATAAAGCATATATTGTTCCTACACCACTGAATAAAGCGTACATTGTTCCTACACCACTGAATAAAGCATATATTGTTCCTACACCACTGAATAAAGCACACATTGTTCCTACACCACTGAATAAAGCATATATTGTTCCTACACCACTGAATAAAGCGTACATTGTTCCTACACCACTGAATAAAGCATATATTGTTCCTACACCACTGAATAAAGCGTACATTGTTCCTACACCACTGAATAAAGCATACATTGTTCCTACACCACTGAATAAAGCATACATTGTTCCTACACCACTGAATAAAGCATATATTGTTCCTACACCACTGAATAAAGCGTACATTGTTCCTACACCACTGAATAAAGCATATATTGTTCCTACACCACTGAATAAAGCACACATTGTTCCTACACCACTGAATAAAGCGTACATTGTTTCTACACCACTGAATAAAGCATACATTGTCCCTACACCACTGAATAAAGCGTACATTGTTCCTACACCACTGAATAAAGCACACATTGTTCCTACACCACTGAATAAAGCGTACATTGTTCCTACACCACTGAATAAAGCGTACATTGTTCCTACACCACTGAATAAAGCAAACATTGTTCCTACACCACTGAATAAAGCATATATTGTTCCTACACCACTGAATAAAGCATACATTGTTCCTACACCACTGAATAAAGCATACATTGTTCCTACACCACTGAATAAAGCATATATTGTTCCTACACCACTGAATAAAGCATACATTGTTCCTACACCACTGAATAAAGCATACATTGTTCCTACACCACTGAATAAAGCATATATTGTTCCTACACCACTGAATAAAGCGTACATTGTTCCTACACCACTGAATAAAGCATATATTGTTCCTACACCACTGAATAAAGCACACATTGTCCCTACACCACTGATTAAAGCGTACATTGTTCCTACACCACTGAATAAAGCGTACATTGTTCCTACACCACTGAATAAAGCATATATTGTTCCTACACCACTGAATAAAGCATACATTGTTCCTACACCACTGAATAAAGCATACATTGTTCCTACACCACTGAATAAAGCGTACATTGTCCCTACACCACTGAATAAAGCGTACATTGTTCCTACACCACTGAATAAAGCATATATTGTTCCTACACCACTGAATAAAGCATACATTGTCCCTACACCACTGAATAAAGCGTACATTGTTCCTACACCACTGAATAAAGCGTACATTGTTTCTACACCACTGAATAAAGCATACATTGTCCCTACACCACTGAATAAAGCGTACATTGTTCCTACACCACTGAATAAAGCGTACATTGTTCCTACACCACTGAATAAAGCACACATTGTTCCTACACCACTGAATAAAGCATACATTGTTCCTACACCACTGAATAAAGCGTACATTGTTCCTACACCACTGAATAAAGCATACATTGTTCCTACACCACTGAATAAAGCGTACATTGTTCCTACACCACTGAATAAAGCATACATTGTTCCTACACCACTGAATAAACGTACATTGTTCCTACACCACTGAATAAAGCGTACATTGTTCCTACACCACTGAATAAAGCGTACATTGTTCCTACACCACTGAATAAAGCGTACATTGTTCCTACACCACTGAATAAAGCATACATTGTTCCTACACCACTGAATAAAGCATACATTGTTCCTACACCACTGAATTAAGCATATATTGTTCCTACACCACTGAATAAAGCGTACATTGTTCCTACACCACTGAATAAAGCGTACATTGTTCCTACACCACTGAATAAAGCATACATTGTTCCTACACCACTGAATAAAGCATATATTGTTCCTACACCACTGAATAAAGCGTACATTGTTCCTACACCACTGAATAAAGCGTACATTGTTCCTACACCACTGAATAAAGCATACATTGTCCCTACACCACTGAATAAAGCATACATTGTTCCTACACCACTGAATAAAGCGTACATTGTTCCTACACCACTGAATAAAGCATACA